GATTGGTATATAGCTGCACACCCAGAGCGAGCGCTTTCAGCAAAGTGGCGGCTTGCTGCACCTGCTTCCGTTATCAACACATGACGCGTGCATCGGGGTGGGGGGTCTAGACACAAGCCCGTGTTGCTCGTAGGCACCCTGCCGCGCAAAAACACAACACACCCAGCTCCAAACGCAAGATTAGCAAGCAACACGAACAAGGGCTGATCGACACACAACTCACTTTGCGGTGTTGTTGCTGAAGAAGCCGCCCGTGATAGTCAAGACTGTAGGGGTTCCCCAAGCCACAAACGCTCCACCTAGTTCCAACGCTCGGTTGTCGCTGAACGTTCCTCCTTCAACGGTGACTTGGGAGCCTCCAAGATCGAAGCTGTCCCCTGAGCAGTAAATCTAGATACACACATCGTCGGAGGGCGAGCACAGAAGAACGATAAGTAACCGGGTGAGAGGGTAGCGGGCGATTATGTCTGCCGTGGGCTCTCACCAAGATAACCATATTCAAACCACGGACGACATCGTCACCCAGCAGAGGGAATCGAATCGACCGCGAGAACATGCCCTACCGCTCATGACACAAACAGCACCAGCACCGACACTGGAATCGCCCCGCCCCTCCCCGTACTATCGGCTCACCACGGCGCCCCTCCTGGTGGCAACACCGTTCCTAACCGTGGCGTCCTTCACGTTGACGAGGGCTCCATCCGAGGCGAACATGAAAGCGCCGTTAGAGGTGGCCAAGCACGCCGTGAACTCTCCCCCCAAGACCTCGAGGTCGCTGCCCCCGTATGCGTCTGGTGGCGGGGGTGGTCGTTACGACGTTGCCGCGAGAGGCGCAACGAAAAGAGCGGGAGCAGCCAACCCCAACACCGACAAGGAGCGCTCAAATTGTGCAGGGTCAAAAGACGCGTATATTTTGTAAGTAGCGTAGCATGGTGCCCGGATCGCTGGGGAGGAAGTATGCATCGACACACCCCGTCTTATCTCTATATAATAGTCTATTGACCCGGCGATACGACGTCAGCAGCAGCAGTGCCAACACACACTGAATGCTTCAACAGTGCTTACGGGACGGGTATGTAGCACAGCTTCGGTAGTACGGCACAACGCAAGGGCATGTATGCATGCATCGACTCTCCCACTCAACTCTCAAGTGCCAGTGACCACCGTGGGAGGGAGGACGGTGAATCGGTGCATCGCCACCGGCGCTTTTCTCTGGAATTGCTCAAGGAATATTCCAGTAGCACTTGCAATTAAATCGGTCACTCACGCTTGCGGGAACACCTGACGCGAACCGATGGCAAAAGCTCGCAAGAGCCAACGGCACAAGTCTGTTTCGTCTCTCTCCGGAAGAAATGTAACACCCCGTTCGTAGCATACATCTAGTCCAGCCGTGGTAGGTGACACTATACTAGACTACTACCGCACACAATTGCAACGCGTCTAGATTCGCGGTACCACAGGCAAGCGAGTCCCCCCCCTGCCCCCCGACTCACAGATGCAGCCGCCGTATTTGCCCTCGTTTTTGACCATGACGGTTCCGTTGTTGACTACCCCTACGCCGGCAACGTACAAGCAGCCACCGTGTCCGATGGCCGTGTTTTCGGTGCAGAGAATATCGTGAAGCTCGATCTCCCCGTCCTCATCCCATCCGAACACCTGAGAGGAATGTATCAGGGACACGCAGCACTTCAATATTGTTGTTGTCTACTTGTCCTTTTCCCTGTTTCTCAAATCATCCACAGCAGGCGTTCTCCATGCAAACAAGAGAGGAATACTAAAAAAGATGAGGCAGACGAACACGTCACTTTGTGCATCTCTGCCGTCGGTGCATAGCCCAGATCATAGGCTCAACAACAGATCGATATAAAAGAAGAAGCGATATATTCTACGCAAGCACCGCATGAGGGGGCCTACAACGTAGCCGCCCACCGGTTCTGTGCATCGGTCGGTCTGAATCTTTCTCTCGTCTATAAAAGCCGAAACACAACCATCACGCTATTAACAGTCTTCGCTGACCAGGCAATGGCTTGGTTTGGTCTTCTATAAGGTTGGTCGTGGGTTCGAAGGCTGAATGAAGACATGCTAGACTTTATTTGGAGCCGAAAAAAAAAACTAGATGCAGTTAGCGCGGGAGAGCAACCCGCTGGTGTGACCACGGTGTGGAGCAGCTTCTACCCAGCAGAAAAGCTGTCAGCGCCGACTAAAGCGAATTTCAAACAAGAGAACGGTCGACCCCGCTTTAAGGACGCACATGGTTTCTCCTGAAAAAAAAACGTCCTTCAAGCGGGGTTGCGTCCTTAAAATTCAGGGAACGATAGCTCACCATCCCCGGGGCCAATGGAGGCATGCTATACCTCAAACTACGCGTCTTTTGCTAAGGGGCTGGTACGAAAAGTCATCATCGCTGAGGCGAGTGGCAACCGTTTGTTAACGTCGAACATATTTACAATACTTGAAACGAGACGTCCGGCAGTCAGGGACGTGTTGACAAACAACTACAGTACACAAGTTTGTACTTTTCCAACCAATGTACTGCACACCCGGCAGCGGAAGAAGGAGGAAATTCCAAGTGAAAATATATGTGACGCATTCTTACGAAACTAAAAAAAGACGAGCATATTTCAGCGTCGCACCGAGGAACACCAGTACATATCACTGCTGTCCCGGCGGAGACCAAAAGCTACCTGGATGGCTTTTCCTTCCACATGTATGTCGCGAAGAGTTCCCTGAACCTACCCCCGCGGCTTGGCTCAACGGCTCTGTTGAGTTTCATGGGCAAACAAATGAACGGTCTTCGAACCAAGGTACTGCATCTCAGGGTACTCGCCACCCCTTCCCTTCGCGTACAAATACAGATAGTGCCCGCAGTTAGGAAAAATTCTGCAAGAAAAAAGACTCAAATTTGTACGAAAAAACAAAAAAAGGGCTAAGAAACATAGCTCAATCTCGGCTACGACGTAAGAAACGCCCCACTAAGAAACGCGATGGTGCGATACCCCCATGACATCAGAAATCTGCGGTGCTCCCAACCCTCTCCCAAGCTGAACAGAATTGCATTTTTTGTTGGGGGCAGAGTTACCCTTCCCCCCCCCCGCCCCCCGCGCCCCTGCTGTTCACAGTGAGTGCTGTACTGTAGTACTGCCACACATCGCGGACAACCGTGTGCTCTCCGCTGTTGTAAGGGTTTGATGGCACTCTCCACCTCTCTCGAGGGCTTGATGATGTGGATTGTCCTCAGAGATCAAAAGACAGAAAAAAGAAAATACGAAGTGCTTGTTGTAGTCCAAGGAATAGGAGAATCGGGAAGATGCGACAGTCCAAAGAAAAAATAAGTGCAATTTACGAAATGGACGTTTTGGGCGGGTACTTTGACCCAAAAGAAGGGATTGGTGAGGCTCGAACCGATTTCGACGTTTCTTAACTGCGGGCGCTATCGGTAGGATCAAACGTCCTCCAAGCGAGAGGTAACCTCGCCCTCGGTGAGGGACGAGGTTATGCACGACTCTTTTTTTGGCGGCATCAGATGGACCGCCGGTAGATGGGAGGAATCTATCCATACCAACACCCTGTTACAGCTGCAGCACCAGACCGCTCGCTACTTCTGCTGTCTGTGCGTCGCTACTTCTGCACTCACTGTGGTGCGTGATGGGTGCAAAGAGCGGCCCGCAGAACGCAAAAGGGGGGTACGCGGCAGACAACACGGGGTTTACCCCATTCTTGTACATTCTGCCGAGACTCCTGGTGCTCAGCATACACATTTTCCTTAGCGGGGAGTTCCCTTGACGCGAGCGTCCTTCAAGCGGGGTCGAATGTACCCTTTTATCGTATATTCTGTCGGGCCCCCGGTGCTCAGCAAAACAAGTTTTCTTTAAGCGGGGAGTTTCCTTAACGCAGAGCGTCCTTTAAGCGGGGTCGACTGTATCTCCTCTATTTTTTCGCACGACTGCAAAACACAAGAATTTTTTGACACCTACCCACAGATAAAACAGCAGGCCAGGCTAAAACTCAGGGACGATTTCACAACAAAAGTGTACAGGACCTGCCGTATGCGTGAGTTTGTAACATACTGACGTCATTTTCGTCCTGTGATGGCGAAGGAAGGGTTTAGCTTGTTCCTAGGCGCGCATCCGACGGCGTGCTGCACGGGCAGGTGCGGGCACGCGTTGACTTCGCAAGAGCCCCTTAAAGTTGCGGGACAATCGCTGCTGCTGTCGCGCAACGGGAGACAGTTGGAACGGCCATCCACCGCCGTGCCACGTGGTGTTGTTACGGGACTGCTGCTGTCTCCTGAGCAGCTAAATTAGCTGTGTTTCGATAGAGGCCGCCACTAAGGGGCAGGCCGGACATGAACATACCAGCGGTGTTCGCGGAGGGGAGCGGTTAAACCGCCCCGTTCCGCTCCGTGAGATATTCCCCTCGGAGGAAAACCCCTCCGCTACGTCACATGAACGAAAAACCGCTCGGTTCCGGGAGATTTTGCCCTCAGAATTCGTATACATACAACAACAATCTTTCGGGAGTCACTGACACCCGACCGTGTCGAGATATCGTCATACCCCTCAGGTCAAACCCGATCCTATTCCGGAGATACATCCAAGAAGTTGAGCCACGAGTTGGGGGAGCTGCTGCTTGCAGCTCAGTCCGTTGGGGAGGTCAGAGCTGCATCTGTCCAAGCTACTCGTGCGGAGGAGGGAGTAGTTGTCTAGGTAGACTGAGAGCCACTTACCGTATTCTACACAAGATACCACACCCCGGTGATAACATTTTGGGCTTCAAAAATATGATCACCGGGTGTGGTATTGTGGGGTGTGTGTGGTATCTTGTGTACCCCGGTGATAAAGCCTAGCTCGCAGGAGCTCCTCAGGGGGTGTGATAAACCAGGGGGTGTGGTAGCACATGCGACCACCCACAGGGAGGGTTTGGGAGTGGGATAAAAAAGGGGGTGTGATAAAATGGGGTGTGATAACACGTCGGAACACCCAAAGAGTGTGTTCGGGTGTGTGATAAACAGGGGGTGTGATAACTCGTCGAAACACTCAAAGATGTGTTCGGGGGTGTGATGAAAAGGGGGTGTGATACACTGCTTGTGGAGTTGAACCGCTGCTGCCGCACCCTGAAGGGGTGTGGTATTGCGGGGGGGTGATGGCAATGCCTGTACGACACTTGCCGCTGCTTTGCACTACCACAAAAAGGGGCTCAAGGGGGTTGACGAAACTCTTGGGCACATGACCTCGGCGATGACTCAACCCCCTCAACGCCGAAGAAAGTTCACACACTGTACCGTATGTCAGCAATCGTGACGGCGTGATGGAGCATCGGAAAACGGTATTTTAAATCGAAGGTACCTCGCCCGATATGATGTCGGGGGATGGCCACAAAGTGCGCCATCCGTTCTGCCCCCTCACAAAAAAAAACAGGCTGCTGCGTACCTTGCTGGTAGGTACGGCCAACAGAGAGTTGAGCAAAGCCAGTACACATCGGAGACCCCGAACCACAAACCTACACTACGAAACAAGCAAACGTTGCACTCCACACGGCTAAGAAATCAGCCGACATTGCAATCACGCTCCAAGACGACGAAGGAGAGAAATGCACGCCAAGAGAAAATGAGAAGGACAACACGAGCTTTTCTCAACACAAGTATCGCTACCGATGCCTCAAAGCTCCACGCCCTCCTCGTCGTCGCTGATGTCCACCACCGGCACGCCCGTGTCGTCGTCGTCGTCGATTTCCAGCACCTCCAGCAAGTTCTCGCCTCCCGACGACGGGTCCGCCTTGTCCGCACCGGCCGACGGCGCGTCGAGGGGCTCTCCCTGGGCGTTGGAGCCGAGCTCCTTGTTGGCCCAGGCCTCGTCTCCCGACCCGTCGAAGGGAAGCAGCAGGCCAGCCTTCCTCCAGCTCGAGCGGATCTCCTCCGGGGTCAAGGCATCCCACGCCTTCTTCACCCACTGTGCCACCAACCCCCGCGAAGGGGCCTCCGGGTAGCCGCGCTCGTCGCGCTTGACGTCCTTGGAAGCCATGTGGTCGTCGTAGAACCTGGACATGTGTTCCTTGAAAATCTTGTTGACGAGGCCATCGCACGGCTGGAGCTTGGGGGTCAGGCCTCCCGGGATGAGGAACAGCGTCGTGTTGGACTTCGCCATCGCCTCCTTAGACGCGTCCGTCTTGTGGACGGTGTAGTCGTCCCACGCCAGCAGCGTGTCAGGCTGGCGGTAGCCGCCCAGGCGGCCCTGCCGCCCCGGGCGCTGGTTCCACACCTGCGGGACCCACACGTCGTTGAACACCCGCTGGGAGTGCCATGCCTTCGGGTCGACGGCGTAGATGAGACCTCGGGGGTAGGCGTAGCCCTTCTTGTCCTTGTAGGTCTTGAACTCGCGTTCGATGCTGTTGGTGGCGGGGGACTTCCCCTTCGGAGTGGGTTGGCCCTTGAAGATGATGAGGGGCTGCAGCTTGCTGCCGTCGGCGAAGCACGTCAGGACCGAAGTGATGCGCACCTTCTCCTTGCCGCCGGTTTTGACAGCAATCTCCTTCTCACCCACGGCCTGCGGGTTTCCAAAGAGCAGCGATCACCGACGTCAACGTGTGGAAATTAGCGACGATTGTTGTGGTCAAGATTCGGAAAGTGACAACAGTGGTTGCAATTAAACATCACAAAAAACAGCGGAGAACAGTAACCGAAGGAAACGACAAAAACTACGTACCTACACGTGGAATCCCACCAAAAAACAAAACGGCCGAGGAATATCGTTGACGGAGGAAAGGACGGGAACTGCTACATCTAACGCAGTACGAGCGAAAAGTACGGCAAAAGAAATACTCACGTTCACAGTGTCACTCCCCGGGCTCTCCATCCACGTAGGAGTCTCATCCATGTTGCCGATCTGCGCCAAGGCGAACTTCAGCTTCGGCCCCGAAAGAACTCCAGCGCCACTCCCACCCCCGCCGCCGCTCGCGCTGCCTCCCGCCACCGTCGCAACCCCCAGGCATTCGACTCCGTCCGCAAGTTCGAGCGCAGAAGGCACGTCGTACTTTAGGCTCCTCCACTCCTTGATCGCCTGCATGGCGATCACGGGCCAGCCGGAAGGAAGTTTCTGGCCTTGCCGGGTGACGGCTCGCACAGAAAAGCGGTACACCTTGAGAAACCTTCTGCACCACTGGCTCAGCTTTTTCTTGTACTTGTGGTTGCCCGCGAGGTCGGATACCAGCGGCCTCTCCCCGAAGAAGGTCGGGTTGAGCTCGATGGCCTTGTGCTTGAGCATCTTCGTCGAAACGCGGGCCGAGATGCTCTCAGAACGCAGATCATTGATCCAGTCCACGATCGCTTGCTCGGCTTCCCGGTTCGTCCTGACCCGTCCTGTGTTCAGCGACATGCGGTTCTTGGCGTTCTTCTTGCTCTTCAATCCCTTGAACTTGCCGCCCTCTGCCGCAAGCGCGGCTTCGTACTCGGGGACCTTCCTAACCCACTCCGCCAACGTGGCCTTGTCGGGAATGTTCAGGACCCTGGTGGCGTAAGAGATCCCAACAGTCCCGCCCGGCCCTTGCGCCCCCTTGACCCTTTTCTGCGAGTACCGCACAGCATTCACCTTGAACTGCAGAGGGTAGCGCTTCCTTTGGGATCCACCACCAAAGTTGGGAATCTCGAAGTCCGGCGGCTCCAACTCCAGCTGCCCTTTCTTCCGCTTGCCCTTGTTCTGCGCCGGCGTACCGAAGAGAGCGCCGCCGAACCCATCTCCCCACTCGGTCTCTCCGGGAAACATCGTGTCGCGGGGTGAGCCATCGTTGGTCACCGGTGCTCCTGGCGCTGGTGCTGGTGTGGGTGTTGCTGCTGCCGATCCTACACTTCCTGGCGCTGGAGCTGGTGCCGGCGCTGGAGCCGGTGCCGGCGCTGGAGCTGGTGCCGGTGCTCCGGATGGCGGCGCTCCAGACATACCGGTAGATGCCGCCTCTAGAAAAAATAAACGCAGACAACCATGTGCGGAATGGCACGAAGCGGTCGATGTCGGAACGCGAAAAACATGTGTTGTGTGGACAGGAAACAACGCGCATCTGCGCCACGCAGGAACAAAAAATTACCGTACACACCCACGCCATAATACAACTTGAAAAGATGTACCGGAAACGTGGATCAAACACAAAGGTGAGAACAAATCACAGGAAACCCGGAGTGTTGCGCAATATAATTGTTTTTAAAGTGTACCGTGAACGTGTAGGGCTCGAAACAAAGAAACAAAAATGTGCGAAGTTGTGAGGGCGGCGCAAACACCATATTATAAAATATGTACCGGGAACGTGTGGCTTAAAAAAAAAATGAAAAAATACAAGGAAGTCTGGAGTGTGCCGGTGGCGCAATATAACTAAAAAAATAAATGTGTACCGGGAACGTATGTGGCTCAAAAACAAATGTGAACAAAATATACGAAGTCAGGTGTGCGGGTGGCGCATGACAACTTAAACATGTGTACCGGGAACGTGTGGCTCAAAAAAAAAGGGAAAAAACACTAGCCTGGAGTGTGCGGGTGGCGCAAAAGTCCGCAAACTGCACGTTTCGAGACAGTGGAACAAAATACTACTTACTACTGTACGAGCGCGTACACATGTATGTCTCACCTGATCGTTCCGTGACGACGGAAGTGCTTGGCTCCTGGTCCACCACCACCAGCTGAGAGGCTTGGCTGGTCCGTGTTGACCCGCCTGCTGCGGTACTCGTGCGTGCTGCTGAGAGCGAGTCAGCAACTGGCTGCTGGTGGGGCGAGCCGGCGGCTGCCATGTTGGCGCCTGTTGCTGTGCCAGCTGCTACTGCTGTTAGATCAACAGCACGAGGAGGAGCAGCAGTAGCAGCAGCAGCCGCTTGCGTAGAAGTCTGCTCGGGTTGAAAGAACGAGGTGATCTGTGGCGCCTGTGCTGCTGCGGTCGAAGCAGTCGTGGGAGAAGCAGATGTACTTGCGGCGGCATTCTGCTCTTCCCGCACGTTCATGTTCTCTGAGGTCTCCATGTCTCCCCCCGTACGGTACAAGCTGTGCGTGTGTGATGCTGTTTCACCCCCGGTGATAGAGACAGGGAATGTATGCGGCGTAACCTGTGTTATCACCGGGGTGTGGTATCTTGTGTACCCCCGGTGATAAATCATGGTCTGAAAAATACACCCAAAATTACCACCGGGGTGTGGTATTGTGGGGGGGGTGTGGTATCTTATGAGGGTGTGGTATCTTGTGTAGAATACGGTATATGGTTCAACACATCATATGTTGCTGCACGTGTTGCAGGGACGTATGAGTCGGGGAGGTACTTGTATCGATGTGGGGAATGCGACTTTCCCTGAAGATTGATAATTGACAGCTTTTTGGGTTGGGCTATCCGGGCGGCGATGACGCGGACGGTGTCACAGGCAGTCTCTAAACACAGCACACCGTACAGGAAAATCGGTCTTCCGTTTCCGAACCCAACGCTTGGTACGAAATCGCAAGTACTCCGTTTTCTGTACCGGATATCCGTGCGGGTTCGATGTTCTTCTATGACGATGCACCGTCCTCAAGGCCACACAGTTTTCGCGTGGTTCATGAAAAAGGTAAACCGCCGTGAGAAAACCGTGATACGGACAAACCGCTCCATGACATAAAAAAAATCGCTTCGCTCCGTGAGACTTCTGCCCTCAGATAAACCGCTCCTCCCTGCTCGGTGATATTTTCAAACGCAAAAAAAACGCTCCGCTCCGTGGAACTTCAAGCACAACAAAAAACAACCGTTCCGTGGAGCGGTTCTACTCCAACACCCGTGGACAACATCCATGCCCGCGGTGTGAGTGCGCGTCAGCCAAGGATCAGCTCTCGTGAAAAAAAAAAAGGCAAAGGAGACTTTTTCCCTTCTTTACCGGGTAAGAAAAGGCCGAGGCGAAGAAGCATGGAACACACTATCACGACAGAACAACGACATGGAGTCGTTGGTCTTGGTCAACTTTCCCGCACTCCTGCCCGTGGGTAATAGAGATGGAGTCGTTGTTTATTGTATAAGTAGAAAAAAGACAATATAAATGTGCGAACGACCAAACACGTGGGAGTGAGGAGGCGCGGACGGGGCGCAAAATATGATTGCAATTTCGAAGGGCGTTTGCCCTCGTCTTGTGTTCCACTCGTGACCGTCTGTGTCGGCAGCGGCTGGCTCAGGGGGATGACAGCAATAATAATCAACACGCGACGGTTTTCATCAGAACCCCCGCGAGAAGACAGTGCCGAAAACAAACCACAACAGCAGCAGCAGCAGCAGCAGCAGCAGCAGCAGCGTGGCCATGCTCTGCTGCTGCCGTTCTTGTGGAAGAACAAAACAACACCGAAGCAAAGACAACACCAAATGGCAAAAAAACAACAAACCTGCGACTCTGAGACTACTGCACAACCATGGTATTTTGTTTGCAACAAACTAGATAACGAAACTCACCCCGGCGCCGTTCGACGTGGCCGAGTTGTTCCTCAGCAGCGTGTCTCCCCCGAGGACAGCTGACGACGCAGCTAGCCCCCCCCCGTAGCCCGGCGTGGTGTTCTCCTCGAAGCTGGAGCCGTCGATGGTCAGGACGGAATCGCTGCCGCCGTACACGGCCCCGCCAGAGACCTGCGCGTAGTTCCCCAGGAATTCCGACCCCGTGATGTCAACCACCCCCCGGTAGAAGGCGGCCGCCCCACCGCCGTAGAGGGTGACCCACGGCGACTCGATCAGGTCGTAGTCGACGATGGTCTCGCTGGAGGCGTTATTGGCCCCGAAGACCGCTCCGCTTAGGGAGCAGGTGGCGGCGGCGGCGGACGATGATGACGGGACTGTTGTCATCGTCGTCGAGTTCTCCGCCCCTCCGCAGTACAGCCCTCCACCCTCCACCGCCTTGTTGCCCTCGAACCGGGTGCCGTCCTGGATGACCACCGTAGCGTCAGTGGCAAGAACGGCACCACCGTTCCCGCTGGCGCTGTTCCCGGAGAACTCCCCCCCGACTATCGTCAGGTCCCCGCCCTCCAACGCCACGGCCCCGCCGTCCCCGGCGGTTGCGAAGTTGCCGTCGAAGACACAACTGTTGAGGGCGACCGATGCCGCGCTGGCGTAGACGGCGCCGCCGCTTGCAGCGCTTCCTCCCGAGAGCTTGAGGTCGGTCAGCGTCAGGCCTCCCGACGAGGAAATGTAGAACATCTGGGTCTGACCGCCGCCCAGCACCTCCGCCGAGTCGCCTTCTCCGGTGATGGACAGAAACGTCCCCGTCCCGACGGAAATGGGAGCGGTAAGAGTAACCGTCCCCGCCCAAATGGCCTCCACCGTCCCGCCGTTCGCGCAGTCAACGGCGGCGCCGAGTGCTTCGGCTTCGGCTACGGTTTCTACTCGGAGCGGCGAGGTGCTGCCGCATGTTGTCGTCGCTACCTGGGCGCACGCCGGTGGCACCACCGCCGGGACTAACAGCGCCAGGCACGAGAGCAGCCAGCGGCGACGGTACCGCGCCCTCCGTTGGGTGCCGCAGGAGCTCCACCCCATGCCCGCCCCCCCTCCACTCCTCGTCGGCCGCAAAACTTCTGTCGCCTTCCCTGTACTTGCTGCCTGCCGTTGTTTGGATGTGTACACCCAACCGCTTTGCCCTGTGGTATTTGACCCTGACAGCAACAGCGGCGGGATGCAGTGGAGCGAGAATAAATACATTGACGTGAGTCTCGTTGGGGACAGCGGAACAAGAGAAAAAACAACACAAATTCCGATTGCACAGGGAGCGGGGCGCGTACAGGCGCAAGGAATCCGGGGAGATTTTTTTTGTGGAACGGCAGCAAACTGCACATGGCCACGGGCAGGCACGCCAGTAGGAAGCAGCTGCCAACAGCACAGCAATTCTATAGTTATTGTGTACAAGTACACAGACTATGGATCTTGCCATGTGTTCTAGAGCAGAAAGAGCAAGAAAGACAAAAACACGTCACTGCCGCCACCGCCGCACTCTGCGCATCAGTTTTCTGGAGCAGAAAAGTAGGTACTGCTGTAGTAAGAGCATACACACGACGTCTATCACCCAGCAGCGGGTACAGGGCATCACAAGTTCTGTCTCTCGAGGAACTGCTGGTAGACGATAAACAGCCCCGAACAAGGGGACCCAGTGACCCTGTACAAGTACTCACGCAGCGTCACAACGCCTTCTGGATGGACCCCTGCAACATGCCAAACTGGTTTCTCGGTCTCTCGCTCTGAGCCACACGCCCCTGCCGACGCTACTGCTGCTGTGTGCCCGCGCATCCCTCATCATGCGCCAAGTTGCTCTCCTCGCATGTCCTTGCTTCCGCCACCGAATGAATGTCAGAAGCGTGCACGGCACGCACACACACAGAGGCACCTCCAACCAACCTATGAAGAGGAAACCTACCTTTATTACTCACGGCTCACTCACAGCTTGGTCGTCCGCAGGTTCCTTAGCCAGATGCATACAATGTGCGAGGGTCCCTCTGGCCACGCCACGACGTCAGGGATCTCTCCTTCGGTGTCGTCGCGCCGTTCCTCGCGCTATTCCGGCGGCGGCAGCTGCACACCCTGCCGATTGATACAAGAAATAGTTAGATGGGGTATGTGTGCGGCGAAGCCCAGCAAGAGCCAATAAATACATACACAAAGTAAAACCATAAAAGAGCCTTCCTTGTTTCGTCCCGACCTCCCGACGTCTTCCCACAGTAAGTAATCTCAAGTCCGAAAATAAAAAAATGTTATGCCGCTGTCCGGGCCCTTCTTTTTTAGGGTGTCCGAGAAGAGCTGTTTCGGATTATTTTTTTCGTTGCCGACCCCAACGCATCGGATTCATCTTTTTCCAGCGGATCATGCAAGAGTCCGCAGGACAGATTTGCAGGTGACATATGTTGTTGTTGTTGTTGTTGTTGTTGTTGTTGTTTCTCACATTAGCTCTAAAAAAGAAAGATTGGGAGCCCGTGGTCTCAAAACCCGGCATACACGACCCCACGAAGAAACAGAAAAAAATAGGGTACAAAAACCACTCGGAAGAGAAACAAAATGATAGAAAGAAAGACCAGCTACCGCACCAAACGAGAAAGAGCGTCGAGGAGACCGATCAAAATAAAATAAAAGGAGAACGGGGAACGCTTCCCACACCCGCCTACAACGCCGGAGGGTTCCGTGCCGGGTTCCCGCCGACCAGGCATCCCCCGCCCTGCACCACACCCCAGGGGGTGCAGCAAGACGGGGGGCGAAAAACAAACACATATATATTCCCA